GTATTTGAGCAAACTTAAGTTGACAACCATGATTGTAACGCATATTAATATATGTGCTTCATTTTTGTAAGAATAGTGGTGATCAAAATCATTTAAAAATTAAGTTTATAAAAGAAAAAATAGTATATATTTACTACCACTTTAAATATGAAAACAAAATCTTCCGGAAGAGTTGGCAGGGATGGTATAATTATCTTTTCACTCCAATTTGCATTCCAGGTACCAGAAACAGCCAACTAAAAGTTAAAATTTCAAGATGGATGGGGGAAGGGCCGTAAACGGCCTCAGGAGCCCTGATAAATTTCTATGATGATGATGACCCAGAGCATTTTTAAAGGTAAGTTGTGAGGTTAGCTGAGAGATCTGTCTTAAAGGATTAAAAAAAAAATAATAAGCTACCACTTTTTTTACATTAGTGTTTTTTATTATACAAAATCTACCTTTCGGTTCCATTTAAGAATAAGTTAATATTTGCTTGGTTTATAAATTCGATGAATAGTAATAATGTTGACTCCACTACATGCACAGAGATGCCAACTTGCTCCGGGGAGCAAATATATATTTTAAAGTGGTAGTTTATTAATTGTGATTCTTGGTTTAATAAATTCAATTCAGAAGATTTTTATACACCACTATTTCTAAATAATTCGTAGGCTTATATAATTCACCACTTTATAGTAATTAAATCATGCTATACCTTTCAAAAAGCAAGCAAAAATACTCATATATTTGCAAAATTTACTTTGTAGTTATTTACCGTTTTTTTTTTATTATTTTGGCGTGTCCGGAGCAGCTGGCATCTCTGCATGCAAATGATTTGAAGCAGGGCTGAAAGCCTGTTTATCAAGGCGGAAAAGGGCAAAAACTGGAATGAAGGACATTTCATTCTAGTATTCTTTTCGAGAAAAATAAAATATATGTAACTACCAAGTTTTTTTTAATAATTACAGTATTTATTTCAAATTTTTAATTTAAACTAAATATATATAGTAGCAAAAAAAATTGCTATGGGGAAGCTTTATATCCGAGCTCTGAGCCAATATGTCTTACCAACGTCTTGGACACGGCAGCCAAAGATGTTATGCCCCACGACCCATTAACATGACCCAGCTATGGAATGAGAAGAAGTATGATGATATCAAAATGGATTGCTAAACAGGATGGAACGCGAGACTACTAGAGTGCCTAGAGTAAAAGAGTGTGGACAACAGAGAAACGATTCCTGCTTGGTAGAAAGAAAAACTTTACCGCCGGAGGCGAGAGTGGAAAATTCGCCATTGGAATAAAACGGAGTGAAAATTATCTGCCTCAAAAAATTTATGTTCTGCATTAATAAAGGCATGTAATAAGTTGATTACTTACTTTTTTTCAATAAAAAACTTCACAGTTACGGTAAATGTAAAAATTATGGCTGGAAATTTGGATAGTTTTTAGTTATTTGAATTTATCCTTATTATTACTTACTTGCATGCATATAAAGTTTTGTTTATCTCATTGTAAAGAGAACAAGGTAATGAAATAACTAATGATTTCATAAGAACAAATGTATTTACTTTTAATAAACATAATTTCTATCTAAATTTCCTATAAATTTTAAGATTTGAGTATCTTTTTATCAAAACTTCAGAAGTGCAGAGTTTGGCGATATTACTTTGAAATCTTGGCGCGTTACAATGATCGCCAAGTAGCATTTGTTTACTTTTAGTGACCAACTTGATAAAATGCTAGTTTGTTTTAAATTTCAACTAATTATCGAAATTTTTGTTTAGAATTTGTTGAAATAAGCAATACCTTTTTAGGTGAATATGTGGTTATTTTTTCCTGAAAAAGTAATAAATTATGTAATTTGTTTTGTTAATTATTATTTCTGAAATGAGTAACATAATCATTATTAATTTTTATATTTCATTTATGGCATTTATTTAAAGCTGAAGTCTTTTCATAAGTCTTTTTTTTTTTTTTTTTCATTGACGTTAATTTTTTAACAATGTGAGATGCTAATTTTTCTTACAATGTTTCTTAAAAAATCTGTAATATCATGTGATTTTCAATCTTAAAGTTTATGTTGCAGATACTTTAGTATTTACTCTTAGGCAAATGGATCGAGTGAAATAATCAATTATATTCATTTAGGATTGAAATAACTTCAATAGATTATTTTATATTCTTTTTATATTAAATAATATATTAAAGATTTATATCTTTGAGTATAAAAATGTATTTTATTAGTATAAACTTTAAATGTATCGATTTATTTAATTATTTATTTATTCTTTTATTAGCAAAATGGCTTATTAATTACTATAATTAATTTTATTAATTANTTACTATTCTGTACATTGTCTTCCTATCCACCAATTTTCGTTTCAATCGGACAACTCCTTCTTGGTGCGTCGATATTTTTGTTATAGAGTGAGTGTGTGTACATATATATGTATATACATATATATATACATATATATGTATATATTATTTCTTAATAGAAAAATAGAAATTTTCCCCTGTATTCTCTGTATTCTGGAATAAAAATCTGAAATACCTTCAATTGAATAGAAATTTTGTTAGAATAGTAGCCTAATGATTAGAATTTTGATAATAGTGATTAAAATATATCCAAATCGTCTCCTTTTATACGACGTCGAATAATGAATATGTTCTTTTCTCGAAAAATATTTCAAAGTCTGTTTCTAGTATGTGGTAATAGCTGAACAATCACAATAGCTAGACAAAACCAGATTTGCAGAGACGTATTTTGTATTTAAAAGATAATTGGCATGGTTTGAGGCTCTATGAAGTGTGTCAAGAATTAATTAGATTTTTTTTCCTCTATGGCATTGAAAAATGTGAAGTTGTAAATATTTTCTACTAGAGTTCACCTACAGTTCGACATTTGAAAAATAGTATTTCCAATATAAGTTTTCTGCAGCCTTTCTAGAATGCATAATTTTTCCTCAGATTTAATTATTTAAACTTAATTAACAAGAATTATTTAGATTTTGTTTCCTCTATGGCATTGAAAAATGTGAAGTTGTAAATATTTTCTACTAGAGTTTACCATTTGAAAAATATTTCCAATATAAGTTTTCTGCAGCTTTTCTCGAGCACATAATTCTAATAATGATAGTTTACTATAGATTTTTTCAAACACATAATTCTAATAATGATAGTTTACAGTAGATTTTCCCAAATACATAATTCTAATTATGATTGTTTACTGCAGATTTCCTCAAGCACATAATTCTAATGTTGATAGTTTACTGTAGATTTTCTCAAATACATAATTTATCTGACGATTAGTTTTCGGCACATTTTTTCTTATACATAATTTTACCAATGAATCAAATATTGGCAGGGCGAGTCCTGTTGCTAAAACAAACTCAAGTCTTGTCTTGTTTTCAACTTTACGGTGGTACTTTTTGGTACCTGGAATGCTAATTGGGGTGAAAAGAAAATTAAATATTTTGTATACTAGATTAAGATGCGTCGCCATTTACCTAAGCTTTATGTTTTCTTTCCGGTTTTCAAAAGTAAAAATTTCATTAAATCCTGCGGCATCAAGATTTATGGCTTTTCCAAAAAAACATTTGCAATATGATTGCCTAATATATCAATAGTGAGATGGTGATGTTACCGGCAAAGTGTGAAATCCGGCATTATATATAATGCCGGATGCTATTTAGGGAAAGTATGAAATAAACGTCCAGATGAAGTTATTATGCAAATGATGTGCATGTTACTGTGAATGACCGAAGTCGGTGATTGTTTACTTTCACGGGTGAATGTTGACATTCACATAGTCGCTTTGTGTGAATGTCCGAAATATTTATTACATCTGATTTGATATTAATTTATTCGAGGATATAATTACATTTATTCGATATTTTAATACTTACCGATGATAGATTAGAAGATTCATCAGTATTTGGAGTATCTAGCAAATACATACCGGGCAATGGCACTTGACCTTAAAAAACCATTGCCTGGTATACCCTACACTGATGTTTTTTTAAGGTCAAGGGCTACTGCCCGATATATATTTGCCCGATATATATTTGCCCGAAATTAATATCAAATCGGATGTAATAAATATTTCGGACATTCACCAAAGCGACTATGTGATTGTCAACATTCACCGGTGAAAGTCAACAACCATCGATTTCGGTCATTCACAGTAACATGCACATCATTTACCCAATAACCTCATCAGGGCGCTTATTTCATACTTTGGCTAAATAGCATCCGGCATTATATATAATGCCTAGGCAAAGTATGTAATACTTCTCATATTTCATACTTTACCTATAAACGTCAGGCATTATATATAATGCCGGCATTTCATACTTTGCCGGTCACAGTGATATATCTTCTTATTTCGGAGGTAAACAATCTTGTTTGTGTTATTTTTGGGTGTATTTTATTCTGACACTTTTTGAGTTTCTTTAGTAATGATGAAGGAAAATTACACAGGTCGGGAGATGCGTAAGTTAGTATGAGACAGATCATTGAGATGTAGAGTAAGCATTTTAAATCTGAGTTCCATTTTAGAGCTTTAAAGAAAAATTAGTAGTTTGCGACAAGCTGCTTTTGATTTATTGATTTGACACGATCTTTCCCATCGAATTTACTGTTCATAACCAGAACAAGATATAATGCGCTATTGACAATCGGGATAGTTTCGATAAAGGGAAGAACTTATTTTTTTCGGGAGATGAGTCTATGTTGGACAATTAGTGGTGGCGATTTTTGTCCGTTACCTTTGAACTTCCAGTTTAGACACAAGATTTCTATTTCATTCAGCTTTTCTAGAATTTCTTAAAGGGTTTTTGGACTTGGCAATTCCAGCATCACTTGAATAAAATGCAGGGATACTGTTAGAGACCTGTCTGTCCACAGGAGAGCCATAAGTAAATAAAACAAATAGTATGAACTTTTGTTATTTTTTTTATTATGATTTGAAAGCAATATATAATTTAACAATCACATAAAAACATAACAAAATATGCAAAAAAAATTTGCTCTTTTTTTTATTTAAAACTGCTCAAACATTCTTAAAATACAGTTTGCACAAAACTTAAAGGGAAAAAAAAGTTTTTGAAATTAGAATGGATTTGCAACTTTCGCTTAATATTTCGTAACATGCACTTAGAAACATGTTATATATTTTCATAACAGATATTATTTTGCAACAGATACTAAATATTTATCACGGTACAAGTTCTGGATATCTCTATTTACTTCCAGAACCTTGTTGTCGTTTGTATACTTAATACAACGTAAACAAAAAAAAATCTTTCTCTCGAGTATCGAATGTATAGAATGACAGAAGGGTGCCCTTAAATGTAATACGGGAAAACCATCTCGCTCATCCAGAAAGAACCCCATCCAGTCGACTCCTTTTACCTCTGTATAATCTTCTGCATTTCTTTTCAAAATGATCATAGACCATTCTGTCACTGCATTGGTGGCTCGTTTTGTCGTGAAGAGAGAATAACCTGACAAAATAGTCCCCAGTAGGAATTAACCCTCCGGGAGCACTCGTTTTATACTCACCCTCTATCACACAAACCATGTCCTCTATACTCTCATAATTGCAGATGGCGCAATGTGGGTTTCGGTAATACCTGTGCTTGTACAAGTCCTCACTTCGAAATCTTGTAAGAGCCATATACCCCTGGCACATCTTTCTTACATTTTCATCAGTCCAATTCAACGCGCATTCTGATACGATATTGAAGGCAAAGCAATACGGCAAAGAGTCTTCTAACACTTCAGGCAAGGCATGGAACAAACTGACTTTGGTATCGTTATCGTCATCCAGAACCCAATTCCAATAGTCTTGCTCAAAATTTTGCAAATTCGGTAGTTCTTCGGATCGATTAACTTTTTCTAAATCACCTCCTAAAGCAACATCCCATGGGATTAGCCGTTCCTCGCCAGAGTTTTCATTGCAAGCAAAGCAGTAATAGTTCTTGTATGTTATACCCGTTGCAGGATCAGTAACAAGTATATCCAGAAAAGGATCGTTTAAATATTCACCTCTGCCATTGCACAGCTCTTCGGTGGTACTGTCGTATTGCAAATTGGGATTGCAGTTATTTATCAACGGGTAGTAAAATTGGCGGTTATTGTTCAACACTCTACATTCAACGTTTTTCAGATATTTTTGTTCATATTTTTTTCTGTACTTCGAATCGACGCAGCAAGTTCCTAGAAAACTGCAGGAATCGTCACAGTTGCAGTTATATTTCCAAGCTTCGTTCGTTCTGGGAACTTCACAAGAATCCAAACCGCTGCATGTTGCATTCAAACTTTTCATATCCTCGTATATCACATCAGATAATAGAATCCACCAATTGGGATAGTTCCAATTATAATAGTATCCAACAATTGCCCTAGTAAATGAACCGGATAAGAGTAACAGAGCAAAAGCTGGTAATGTTTTCCATTCAGACTTCATGGTTGGTTCAATCTAAAAGAATACAAGAATATCGGATTAGTGTTAAAAAAGCATGAAGCGAGGAAGCGAAAAATCGAGATTTAATATATATAAAGCTTCTTTTTTTTAAAATTGGCACTTTTGAGATGAACTGTTAGAAAAAATAGGTAATTCTTTTTTTTAAGATTCAATTTCTACAATATTACTCTCAAAATTTTCTATTGTTTGCAAATTGCAATTTGATTTACATTCGCAAATACGATTGCTTCGGAGTTTTATGCTTTGAAACTCTCAAACAGTTGTGGGTATATTCTCCAATATTTTTTACTCATCTTCATCGTTTTCATCGGACGCGAGCATTTAATCAGATATTGAAGGAATTGAAATGCAATGGGGAGGGGTGGGGATTTCAGTCGATATAAGCGTTATCGACTTCAAAAGATATTCGGTCACGAAATTTTATTCTGAAGGGCAACTGTTCCAAGATATTTAATTTATTAAATACACTTGTAATGTACTTTATTCGACATGTAGAAATCGAATTCAGAGCTTCCTGAACTCTTATTTTTGCTTTAGAAACATCTTTCAGGTCGCCATAATCAAGAAAAAAAGGAATGATTAATGAGTTCTTAAGTGTAACGTTCTTGAAATGATTGGATTATTCCAAAGTTCAAATATTGAAGTATGCTTGAAAAAACTCCACTTGCAAATTTTACAATTCAAGTCCCCATATTTCCTTTAACCATTCCTTTTTTACTTTGTCTATCCCACACCCATCTGTTTTTGATTCAGGGGGCAAACCCTTCTCACAGACAATAAGACAAAAGAACAATAAAAGTACAATACGATAGTACAATACTTCTAAAGTTCAATAAGATAGAACAGAAGAATGTTGAAGCTGCTTCAGAACAGCTTATAAAGAAGTCTCTGTTTGTGCGAGCTTCATAAAGAAATTCTGTTTAAATTTGTTTGAAACAACTTATAAAAGGGATTTTTTCGGAATAGATAATTTTCAAGATCCATACCGAAAACGTATGATGTAGGAAGTGGGATAAGGTATGAAATGGACCACGTAAATCCGGAATTCCACTTAGATAAATATATCTTACTGCCGATATAATTTCGGTTAAGGCATAGCTACCAACAACCACAGATTGTCTGCAATTTTATATTTAAGGAATATTATTTTTTAATTCGTGGATTTATAAATTAATTGAAACATATTTTTTGAAAAAAACCGGCCAAAAAAATCACCTTTTTTATATAAAAAACACACTTTAGAACACTGTCTTTCTTTTTGTTCCATGGATAAAGGCTATATTCAGAGATGTCAACTGCTCCGAACACGCCAAATAAATTTTAAAAAAACGGTAAATAGCTTCAAAGTAAATTTTGCAAATGATTGACTTTAACCCCTTGGGGACGGGGGATTCAGAAAAGCATTCGTACAAAATCAGAATCAAGTTGTAATTAAATAAAGAACGGTAACTTAAATGTAATCGTTGCTAGTTTGACAGACTTACTTTGCTTTTACATTAATTATTGTTAGTTTAATCATATATATAATCAATGTTAATTCAAACTATAACTAGTTTAATTTTGAATAAAGTATTGGTGAATTAAATAAATCAAACAATTATAACTCCACCCTCAAACTGCTAAACCACCAATAAACTGCTAAAGAAATACTTTGATCACCAGTTTTATAATTTTACCCTGATTGATACGGTTTTATACTGTCACTTAGGCGCGAAAGGGTTCAAAAAAGTTTTTGCTTGCTTTTTAAAAGGTATAGCTTGACATAAGTATTTCTAAGTGGTGAATTATAGAAGCCTACGAACTATTTAGAAATAGTGGTAGAAAAAAATATTCTAAATTGAATTTATTTAACGAAGAATCACAATTGATAAACTACCACTTTAAAATATATATTCGCTGTCCGGAGCAAGTTGGCATCTCTGTTTATTTTATTCTTGAATAAATAAGTGTTATACCTTATAATCCTACGTAAATGATAAATGTCAATAAAACATTATTTTTTTCTTAGCTTTCACATTGTTATTTTCAATTCTAGATTATATTCGAGTGTGAAAAATTACAGCACTAGATTCATTGACGTAGAAATATGATTCTTCTATGCTACATTGATTGCTTTTTTTTTTATTATTGTTTGTTCCGAAATGCCGGTTTGAATTGGGATTGGTATATAAACTGAAATAGTATAGTTAGATTTGTGTTTTAGTTTGTACCAAAATGAATTGTTAATTTAATGTTTTAATTTACACCAAAACTACTGAGCAATTGTGAATTTTTTTATACTGAAATACTTGCAGGATTTGGGTTTTCTAATTTAATTTGGTGTATACACCAACCGATTTTTAAGCGCAAAATAAATTTATGAATTATTGAAAGCCCAAGGCTCAAAGCCCAGGACGGAAAAGAGTCAAAATTGGTACGAAAGACATTTTATTCTAGCCATTTTTTTAAGAAAAATAAAGTATCTGTAACTATCAAAATTTCTTTTATAATTTTAGCATATATATAGAGCTGATTCCCTTTTTTTTTTTAAAAAAAAAAAAGTCGATATTATTGAATAGTTTGATGAAAGAATAAGTAAACTCCTCCCAAAAACTAGTTATAATTGAAATGGTTTTACTACCAGCTTTTTCTCTCTTCCGCCTCGCCTTCACCACTGGAACCAATAGTAGATTTCAAAATCACTTTAACAGTTCCGTTGATACGGATGTAATGCCGTTCTCATCCAAAATAAATACTAAAAATGTAATTATTAATTTACCAGTTTTTATATTAATAAAAAATATATTGGTAAAATGTAAAATTAATAATATAATAATCAACCCTTAGTTCTACACCAAAAGTGAAAATGATAATTTAGTGTACTGCTTGGTGAAATAGTGTTTTATAGTGGCAGCGAAATTTAAGTTATTTTCTCACCACTAAATATCAAAAATTTTAAGCGTTCTAGGCGTAACTATTCTCCTTAAACAAATTTTACTATATAATTCGCTATCACTGTATTAAAACTATTGTACTAAGCGGAGCAGTTGGCATGTCTTTATATTTTTACCTAAAATTCTGTTATTTATTTATCAAAAGTAAAATAATTACTTTTTATTTAAAAGAAAGTGGTAATTGATAAAATGGCATATCTACTTATTACCTATTGTAAATAAATATTTGTTACCACTTTTTTCATGTATCAATTATTTTTGGTTGATTATTTTGATTTGTATCAATTATTTTTGAAATTCGATGTCCATATTCTGTATTACAACATGGCTCTATATCTCCTCATAATATTGACCTATTGCATTCAAACTACACTACGCATTATATTAGCGGGTACTAGTGTACCCGGTAGGAAATAATTATAGGCTTATTAGGGGACCCACAATGTGGCCCTATAGGCTACTATATATATACAATAGGGGTTGAGCATGAAAGGGTTAACTATGGAAAGAAACAACGAATAATAATTTTTTGAAAAATGTAAGGTTATGTTTTTTGAAATTTCTGAGTATATCTCTTTTTATCAGGTATAGTACAAAGTTATTTATGAACAATGCTGAGTTTGTAATATTTATACTATATAATGCTCAGCATTATTTTTCAAAGTGACTGAAAAAAAAGCAGGACAAGAAAATTGTGTTCATGATAACAAAATCAATAAGAATGCAGCAAACATATTGTTAAATTGCCTACATCCAGCTGAATGTTAAAATGATATTGAATAAAGTAACAATAATTTCGATTTTACTTAAAGCAAATAATTAGGGAATTGTGAGAGAAATTGTATTAAGCTCAGTTGCCATAAATTAGATTGAAATGTAGAAAATTATTCAATTGGTGAACTCTAGTATATTTAGGTTTTTAATTATGTGATTACCTATTGGCAAAATGGGTGTTGTTTTGGATTTGATGGCGTGCGTACCTTATTTGAACGTCATCACACTTTCAACTGCGCTCAAGGGTAATAACAAATAGTGCGCATACAACGTCATTGCATGCGTTGCTATGGCGACTGCTGCTGTTTGATAATTTTTTTAGAATTTTTTTTCACTTTTAATTTTGTCATGCATTAAGTTGGTGAGTTCATTTTTGAGACATGGGACCAGAGAGATCTCATAAAGACTTCTTAAGTTGTAAATAAAACAGAATTTCATAATTTAAACTTTATCTTTATTTTTATTGTTTTCATTAAGAATCAGAAATTCTAACCTACAGTTCAAACTCGATCGTTTTCAATACTAATTCAGATGAACATCACAAATAAAGGAGGTAAAAAAAAAATTTTAAAAAGTAAACAACCATTTTTACCGATGGGAAACCTGTGATCGCTTTTCGGCTCTCACAATTTTTATAATATTATCTTTAATTTAATAAATTAGGCATTTGAAAAAATAGAGCAACGAAATATTTCTTTAATTTTGACGAAATTTATTTCCTTGGAAAGAGTAACGATAGTTATTTTATTTATGTTATCTTTGCGCTGTTTGCATAAGTAAATAAAGTTCAATATTTAAAATATTTCCTCTGGAAAAAAAAGAATCATATTTTAAACACTTTAGAATAAAATTTAAAATAGCATGTTTCAAAAAAATAGACTTAATGCTTCAATATTTAAAAAAAAACAATTATAGAATTAAACTAGACGAAGAATTATTTAGAATTAAAAATAGTGAAACATTTCAAGAAATATTTAGAACACATTAAAACAAGAGTAGAATTTTTATACTTTTCGAAATTTAACTGAAATATAAAATCAACATAATTATAAAATGTTTATAGAAAAATGAAAAACTTAATATATGAAGAAATAGAACTGATTTAAATACTTTCTTTAATTATATTAGCTTTAATACCTTATTAATAAATTAAATATATATTTGATATCAAAGCATTTATAAAATTTATCGAATAAAAAAAATTCCTTCTTACTTGAAAATGCCTGATTACCAAATAAAAAACACAATCTAAAAGAAAATCATTAACTGGATTGAGATCTTTTTTTAACTTAAACATTTTTAAACGTTTCACAAAATTGAATTAAATCTAAAAATTTAAATCCTAGAGCATTTGTAAAAATTTATAAGCTAAATAAATAATTTTTTTCTTAAATTTTATTTTATATATTCAGATTTTGATGTCCATAAATTATGTATTGAAGATTTTGTTAAAAATAGTAAGTTTTAGCTGCAGTCTCTTTAATTTATTATTCTAGAATAGAAAAATAAAAATAATCTGTTTATCTTACCTTTAATTCACTCAATGAGAACAAATTGATTCAATCTCTGTCCAAATCCAAATTCATTAAACGTTCGTTTACAAATTAAAATAAACAGAATGCATAACACATTTTATACAACAGAATTATTCCGGTTCCGATTTAAAAATTCGTACTGTCGAATAGAAAATCCAAATTAAAGGAAATAAGCCAACCGGATTGGGAATTTCTTTCATTTGCATTCACAATTAAATTCATTTCTTTTCTTTTCAAAAATTTTTTGAAAGGAAAAATAATAAATTACTTCGTCTATAGTTACATTGATTAAGCAATAGCGTAAATTAATTGCCTTTTTGTGAGTCCTAGAACTTTAACCCTCGCGGTTTCTTATCTTGACATGTGATTTCATGGAAAGCTGTCATAACTGAACTGCTTAACTCGTCAGAAATGATATTCGTAAAAAAATTTACCTCTTTACTTTGATTGTAGAAGGGTTCGTAGTATTTTCAAGGTTATAAGCATAACAGCGAATCTTAGTGTTAAAAATTCCTTTATTGAAGCTATACTTCTTATGCGACTTCCAACAAGTTTGCGTAAAACGTTTAACGCTACATTTTTATTGGCCGGGAAATCACGTGGTAGGATCCAGTTTTCCCTCGTTCATTTTCTTATTGTTTTGGTTCTCACTAGCATAAAAATAATAAAAAGTCATAAAAATATTGTTTTTCTATTATTATTTTTTTAGTCTGTTTTGATACACATAATTTAATAGGGTATTATTTTTTATTTACAAATTTAGTGGATAACAATTGTGAAAAATGAGTGAAAACAATCCCACGGACAATGCGACGGATTTAAGGTTATGTCAAGGTACGTCTCTCGTGAATATCAATTGATTGTTCGGTTTTCTCTTAGGTTGTTAGGTTTTCTCTTTGAAATCATATTATGACGCATTCACATGCGTTATTAAGACAAATAAATTTTCCAGTGCGAGACGATGAGGCAACCACAAGCACTTCCACTGGTTCAAGAGGTCCACGAGGGAAAAATGCACAATATTACCGTGATTACAGAGCACGGAAGCGAGCGGAGCAGGAAAAAGAGTCGTTGAATAGAACTAGTGATCCCTCTACGACTGCTGATACCTCTACAATTAACATCGCAGGTTGCGAAGTTTAACTTCTTCCGCGCGGAGGGACTCCACGTACTATTTTTTTTATTATTTATACTACGTTCAAACCCTGCTATAGTGAACATGGTTTATAGTGAACTCCCGGATATAGTGAACTAAATGTTCGCTCCCGTTCCTTGCTATACACATTTAATATTATTTTTTGTGGTTATAATGAACCATAAGAAGAGAAGAAATTGGATATTATGAACTTTTTGCTGTCTTCCACTGATTTTTTCCCCTTCATTTTTGGGTAATTTTGAAATTTCTACATAAAATACATATACTGATTCTTAAAACCATCAATTGAGTGGAATGTAGCCATATTTTTTCTTGTTTGCTTCTTCTATCTCAGTTACCCATCCCTAAAGGTCACCCCTAAATTTTTGTACGCAAGACGAAGAGTAATAAAAAGCAAAAGTTAACACATTTTTTGTTACTACATATTGTTTTTTAATCATTTTTGTATTTCTTTTTATTGCTCGTTTATTTAAATCATGTGTAATAAAAGGGAGCAGTTCGGAAAAATTAGTTAAGATTGTTCGCTGTACGGATATAGTGAAGTCCCGGTTATAGTGAACCGAAATTTCGGTCCCTTGAAGGTTCACTATAGCGGGGTTTGACTGGAATTAGAAAATGAAAAATTGGTATTTCCATATTCAAATATAGAAATTAATAGTTTTAAAGTTATACGAGTTTTTATCTTTTAAAAGTAGTTTTGTACTTATGCCCGTTTGCACACCTGTCGTAGTAATTTTTGTCAAGCAACGTATTGAATTTTATATATGCTGTTTCAGATTAAATCAAAAGAGATCAAAACAAAATCGAAAGGAATAGTTTTAAAATCATGAAATAGTTCAAAAACCATCAAACAAGAAAAAATAAATCCTTATAATTTCAAAGCTATTAAAACGCCCATTATTTTGCCTTCTCAGTACTCGGTCTTTGATGCCTGAACAAGGAAATTGGTCATTAAAATTTTTTTTTGTTCACTAACCTGTGAAACAAAAAATGAAGAGAAAAGCTCAACTGACAAAAACTCAAAGATGACTAAAACAAAAATTACCACGTTGAATGCTATGGGGGTAACAGGCGACCGGCACTGAGTTTGTTCGTAGCACCACGGAGGCCACCGGTGACAGGCGAAGCAAAGACTATTAGAAACACATAATCCGAGTAAATTTTTATTTTTTTCTTATATTATTAACGTTACTAAAATGGTTTGAAGAAATTAGTGCAATATAGAACACATAAAAAATAGTTTTATTTATATACACAGAGATGTCAACTTGCTCCGGGCAGCGAATAAATCATTTCAAATGATAATTTATTAATTGTGATTCTTGGCTTAATAAATTAAATTTAATAGATTTTTATCCACCATTATTTCTAAGCAATTCGCAGATTTATATAATTCCCCACGTATTCCAATGTAATGCCAAACCTCTTAAAAACAAGCAAAATTTGTAATATTTACAAAGTTAGTTTGTAGTTATATACCGTGGGGGCCAGACGGGCAAGCAATGTAACATTAGCATGGCTTTCAACGTGTTAATAAAGAAAATGCCTCACAAACCAAAAGCGCCAAACACAAGAAACAGATATCTGTAATTTTTTATATCTTATTAAATTTAAATTTTTCGTATTCAATAACTAAACCAAATGTTTATTTATAAGTAGTAAAAAAGTTTAAAAAAATTTTATCATGAGTCCAAGCCCTCTCGACAGCTCGAACAATTTTTTTCGTTAGCGTCCCAAGCCCACATCGCGCTTAAACTAAGCCTATCTCACATATACAAATAGAACCAATAGAATGTTAACTACGAGATGACATTTTGCACAAACAAGAGCTCTTGAATCAAACTGTTTTATATGGCAACACCTGCTTTCGATTTCATACTGAATACAGTATGAAATTTATTATACTACCGATATTATATGGTAATTATAAGTATTATATTCTGCTTTTTTTAATGCACTGCACACATGGTATCTAAGCATTTTATCTTTTAAGAAAATTGAAACATCGGTTTTACATATTTTTATGAAATATTTCTTTTTAGCAAGAATTAATACTTTTTTACTTTAATCTATTCGTCTTTGTGTGTAAAAATTATAGCATTTTAGTTTGAAATTGTTACAAACATAATAACTCATTATTTTGGTGTTTGTGATAAATTTTAAAATCGTGCAAATGTTGCTCCATATCACCATTTTCCAAGATTTCATTACGTTGTGCTTGTATTCACGGAGGTTATTTATTTATTTAATACGTTCGTTAAAAAAATAGAAGATATAGATAGTTCCATGTTTGCTGGTAAAGTCTTGATTTTTTTTTAAACTAAGATATACTTACACATATATGAAATAACTATTCAAAAGATGAATGCGTGCATGAAGATCTAATTCTCTGCATCACAGTATGTTTCTTATGCAATTTTATTTAAATAATTTATTAATTAAAAGAAAAAAACAGCCCGAAATTAGATTTCTAACTTGATACTGTATTAGTTAATATCACGTGATGTATCTATCCAATGAGAATGCGCCAGGCAATTATCTTCAAATTTATTCTATTTTTATTCTACAAATTTATTATATTTACACATTCGAATCATGATTCGAAAAACAATTCAAAACATGAAGTTAAAATTTTAAGATCAAATTCTTGTTTGCCATTTTGTAAGGTTCAGATATTTTGAAGTCTGTGGATAATGCTAATAAAATGTTCATATATATGCGCTCATATATATCTCTGGAGTAGACATGTATTCCTGCCATTATATTAACCATACCATCTGAGAAGTAGAGGTAGCAGGTTCGTAGACGTTACTTTTAGTTGTCTTTATCTAATTAGTTCTATTTGTTCTTCAAATTGTCCGAGTCGTTCTTTATATTGAGCCCACAAGTCTGCATGCATCTATAGTGTTTTTGAATATGCCGAATGTAGCAATAAATTTGTAACTTTTAAAAATTATTGCAGTAAATTACACGAAATTTCGTAAGCTTAGCTTAAATATTTTTAATTCTAATATTCTTCTTAAATATTCTTCTAGAGATAAAAATTTTTATAAAAAAGAATTTAAAAAAATTTTTTTTTTGCCTTACGTTTTTTTTTGCTATAATTATAAAAATATTCAATAAAATCCTTAAAGCAATTTGAAATGAAGTACAAAATTTTTGCTTCAAATTTAAAAAAAATTCTGAAAAATGTGCATTATCTAAATAATTAAATTCCTTTATACTGCACATGTGCGGAAAAAAATTTAGAAAAAAATTTAATGTAATTTTGTGGTGAGTCATGTTTGGCAATTAATGAAAAATAATCCAATTTCAGTATCCTTAAAAGTTTAAACATTTTCAAGCAATTTATTAAGCAGTTTTTATACGTGCTACTACTCTGAAGGGTTTTTTGAAAATATTGTCTTGAATCTTAAGACAAAATATAATATTAAATGATGTCATTCAATAAACGATCGTACACAGAAGGAAGATTCTAAAAGGAACGAAAATATACCGAAGAAAATATACTTTTATGGGGAATAATGCCCAACAATGTTACAGTACAAAAATGAATTTGTGGAAAACCTCTGATCATTTTGAGCTTTTTTTTTAAAAAAGTACGAAATTTTCTCAGAAAATTACTTGAAACTTTGAGATATTTAAATCGAATTTTTTTCATTAATTGCCAAATACGATTCACTACAAAATTAAGAGAAAAAAATTTAAATTTTTCCTGCGCATGCTCAGTATATAAGAACTACTTTAATTACTCATATCTTGCGCAGGCTTAGTAATTATTTTAAATCGCTCCAAAACTTTTGTTTAATTTTATTGACTATTCATAAAGAAATAGCATAAAAACTGAAGACAAAAATATTTCGGTTTTTTTCATAAAATTGTCCACATTTCCAAAAAAATAAAAACAAAGAGGAAAGTTAGAATTAAAAACCTTTATAGCTGCTATTCGTAAAAAGAAAAATAAATTCCTGCAATTCTAAATTTCAAATTATACCTCACTCTTTACTTCGTTCTGTATATCTGTTATAATTATTAAAAAAACTTTACAGTCATGAATATTTTAATTACTCTGGGGAAAACCTTTTAAGACCGGTCTCAAATGTCTCGAGGTGCACGACTAAAGGTTACTAACCAAATTAATTGGCTGTTCAAAAAGCACTCACGACTCACGAGAAGAATCGTATGAAATTATCAACATAATAAAGAAAAAGAAAATTTTAATAATAACATTTTAAAATTAAAATACTGGTAGATATTTTTAATTAATTTATTTATTTTTTTGAGTTTTACCATTTCGAAAAATATAAAACTTAAAAATACAATAGTTACATAAAAATTTATTTTGATTTTTCCATTTAAATAGTAAATACTCTTGTTAAATGGTGTTTTAAACCTGATATTGCATTAATGTAGAGTTCGTCGACACTCTTAAAGTGCAATTTATTTGAAACTACTAGTTGATTTAATATTGTTAATCTCATAGTTTCATACTAGATTCTACTTTATTGCTCCCACCTTTATCTCTATCAAAATTTAATACATCTTAGCAAATACATCTGATTCGCATGTGTGAATGATCATATTGTAACAGCAATGTTAAATTAACCAAGCACGAAATTGCAAATAGAAAAAAAAAGTCCTCCAAAGAAACTTAAAGAAGGGAAAACCTTATACTAGTTGAGGTTCCTCATTGATCCACCTTAAAATACGATATGAACAGTCACCAGAGTAACGAAAAATTTAAAAATGGCGGTGGACTTAGCTTTTATTTTCGCACTAATTTGAGAAAAACTTCACTGAAACTAAGTGAAAAAAAGTATTCTCATTTTAGTGATTTTGAAATAAGTTGAAAAGTTCAAAGCATAAAATTTATTTCCTTTCAAACTTTTCAAATTAATTCTTTATTAAAAATATCTGCTACCTGCAACTGATTAAAATTCTTAAACTGAGGAATTTTTACTTTAACTGCATTTTGCGTTAATCAATTGAAAAGAAATTAAATAAGTTTTGTAATTAGAACTCAGATTATTTGCGTATAAATATTTGAAATTACAGAAAGAAACATTTAAATTTCGAAAAAAAATATATTTTTAATATATTAGCACTTTATTTACATTAAAATGAGTCGCAATACTAAATTTCACACAAAATATACTTACAATATTCACACACACACACACAAAATGTCCTGACATTTTACATAGACATACGCAGAAATCGCATAAAACCCAATTAATAAAATATACACTTTGAAATATTTACATTATAAAACTTACTATACATTTAGAGTCTATGTTTGACTGAGTGAGAATACACTCATATATGAATTAAACCTGTCACAGAGCTGCAGATACTGTTCTAACGCTTGTACTAGATCTCTTTCGACTTCTATACTGCTTAGTACACAAACTACGCACTTTCGAGCTGCCCAAAAATACTCCAAAAATGAATAGCCCCTGTAAAGTATTCAAGACGATGAAAATGTACCACAAAAAAGGCTTATCAGCAAACCCAGCTGCGATACCAAACACCCAAGTTAAGCCCATAATCAAAGCCAACCTCGTAAACATGGCGAAACTTCTTCGCAAGTTAGCATCCTGCGCCGATCCAGACTTTATCGTTGCTCGGTTGATAACGAAGATGACATCAGCGAAAAATGCTACGTTTAAGAGCATAACAATGATTAATGGAACTGCGAAGAACAAAAGCAGGGCTTTGCGCTGCCCGAACCAGCAAAACGGATGTCCAAAAGATGGCCTCAAATCCTCTGGTAAGATGTTAGTGGAATCGAACACTTTAACCAGGATTGTCAGTAAAGCAGGGATTGCCCAGCAGTATAAAGAGTACAAAATAAATCTTCTCCACGGAACTTTGTTGCTGGTTATTCTTAACTCGCGAATCACAACTCTAAATGATCTCCAAACGTCAAATGCTATGGCATTCATCCAAAAGAAGGATGTAAGGAAGAAGTAATAAACACTCATGCCCAGTCCAGCACATAGTACATCACTTTCCAAAAGAAAAGCGACCAAAAAGCAGATGTATGCCATTAACAGCGACAAACTTAGAGATGCGAGGCAAAACCCAGGTAGGTTGCGAACAGCCGGTACCAACAAGAATATGCCCAAATGGGACATCAAACTGACTATAGATACGAGTAGTCCAATGAAAGTGACATAGTCTGATGTTTTGGAAAACTTTACCCAGTCATAAGGCAAGGTGCCATTTTGTTTCAACTCTTCAAAGGATGGCACACATATGTAAACGCCAGCGTCAACTATTAAATAGTCCTGTGATCCATAGGATTTTGAATAAATTTCAATATATATGGTGTCATTTTTTAGTAACTTGTACTCTTCTGGCTCTATTAAAACATGACCACATCTCTGGAACTCTTCACTAAAATTATAAGTAGTAGTAATAGTTTCAGTAGCATCATCGCTAAAGTTGTAAAAAGAAGTGGCAATAGTTTGCTTTGCAGTTTCACTCAAGTTGTAAAATGTAGTGGTTTGCGTAACATCTTTGTCACAGAAATATGCCGTTCCATTTTTTAAGTAAAACTTGCCTCTAACAGTTTGGTTATGGTTCTTTAAAAACAAGCTCCCATTAGATAGGATAATGAAATCCTGAGAGGTCAAGTATGTAGTACAATTTGGAAAGACTTGTTCTTCCACGCTGATGTTATAATGTTCTAATTCTGGATTTTCATCAAAATCACTGAAGACGTCGAATGGGTCTTGTAAGGATTTAGCCGAGTATGATGAGAAAAGAGTAAATAGAATGAAAATGAACGTTCCTGTCAACATAAATCCAGACATCTTTATTGAAATGATTTCTCCAAACTCCGTCCTAATCGTCTAGTCTTAAATGGGCCTAGAAAAAATGAAAGGTAAAATTACTATAATAAACAAAGTTGTTAATGCTTTGTTCATTATTTTAAATTGTGCATTGTGTAAGAGTGCATTTGCACAGATCGCAAATTGTATTATTTAATAATGGGTGCCTAATTTTGAAATGTATAAAATAATTTACACCATTCTAAAATACTTAATTTTAATTGACAAAGGCAGAAAAAATTTTAATAAATTGGTCTAATAGTTTGAATTATCAAATTTCAAAAAATCGTATATTTAACATTTGGCAATTCAAGAAATAATCAAAAGATTTTGTTAAGTTATCTATTAAGAGTTTTGGTTGCAAAATCTGCAATCTTTAAAAAAATGAGCTTCATGCTTGTTTTCTACATGCTTCTGAGAAACTCCCTTCAAATCTTCGAATGCATATCTTTCAAATAAATACGAAACTCATTGATTCTGGATAAAACTTCAACCTGTAATTAATCGATAATTCCCATTTTAAATTCTGCTGTTAAGAAAAAGCAAATTATAAAAAAGTAATTATGTTTAAATCTATATTTTCTGTGTCGGGTAACAATGTTTCAAAGTATTCACAAATTATAAAATACATATTTTGTCACTAATTTTCCAATTCAATGCTTATTTGTGTCACTGGATGGAGCTGTTTATGTAATATATATCTTATAGGAAGTTATATTTTCTTTTTACGTCCATCTTAAGAGTACTAGATTTACAATTTATACTGTTTCTTTAAGAATAATCTCATTTTAAATGGCAATCTGAACATTTAATCAATGCCTCAACTTTGAGTAATTCAACAGCAATTCTTGCAGTATTGAAGAACAAAAGACAGTGGGATACCTGCAAGTGAGCTAGTGTTGGCATCTCGATCCTGATTGGTTGCTGAAACGAGGCATTTGTATAAGTTAGAACATTGGTTTCCAACTGGCGGCCCGGGGGCCGCATCCGGCCCACGAAGCCTTTTTTTTGTGGCCCCTCGAACTCAAATATATTAGTTCTCATTTTTTTGCGGACAATTTTCGTAAAAAATCTATGGGTTTAAAATACTTTTCTCATTAATAGAAACCTAATTTCTTCGTTTCTGTGAAATTTAACATACCAACGGTGCAAAAAAAATATTTCTCGGGTTTTGCATCAAGAAAATATTTATTCAAATACAAAAATAATCGTGTGTGTTTCTCTTTTTTCCTTCATTTTTTTGTATTTTGTGAATATAATTTAGCATCTGCGTATCAGAAATTTTCTCGAAGAAATTCTCCGATTTAACTTTTTGAAACCACTCATTTTGGACGAAAATATTTACACACACATTAGTAAATTTTAAATTTAAAATGTAAATATATTCTCTGGTGGTTGCCGCAGACAAACCTCAATTTTCTCATTGAGGTAAGTTTTAATACCAACCTTTTTAAAGTTTTGTATCTTAACAATTAGATATCTGTTTCACTGTTAAAGTTATTGCAGCCCGAATTTTTATTATTTATTTAATATTATTATATATATAATATTATTTATATTTATTTATATTTTTATTATTTATATAATATTATTATATAATATTATTTAATTTTATTGTTTATTTAATATTATTTAATATTATCTTATTTTAATTTGTAATTCAATACTTTTGTTTTGTACAACTCGGTAAAAATCTGACAGTAATATTTAATGTTCCTTCAAACATAAAAAGTCCAACATAAAATTTTGATAAAGTTGAGGCCCGCCATTTGATTTCTATTTTTAATTGTGGCCCCCGGCCTCATGTAAGTTGGAAACCCCTGAGTTAGAAACTCTTTACCTTCTATTTCGAGTAATCTAAGCCCTTCAAATATAAATTCTCTTAAGAGAGACATTCTTTACTCTTTCACTATATATTTCTTAACACTAAAACAGGCATGAAGCCACGAAGAACAGATAATGAATCGAAGTTGCCAGGTACACAAAACAATATAAACAAATAATATAAAGTAAAAAAGTAGACGCAAAAGAGTTATATTTCAACAAATTCGATGTGCGATACGGGGCTGTACGTAACTTCACGTTAATTACCTCAACTTTAACACATAATTTCGGAACTATCGCCTACGTCATAGATCACATGAGTGGGTTTCTGTCATCTTGAAGTGCAAGTTCTCAATTGACAATAATTGATACAATACCTTTTTTCAATAATTCATACAATTTCAATAATATACATACGTATGCATGCATAGATTTTGAATAATATATTTATCAATTTGTTCAATATATATTTTATATTTATTAATTCGAATAAGTAGTCAACATTTTTAAGCATCTAAAAATTTCTTAGCATCTTATATATCGTATTAATCTTAAAATAAAAATTTTTGTTTACCTGTTCGGGCGTGTTTTGCAGAACTATTTTACCTATTATTTACTATTTTACTATTTATATAAATTTTAACATTTTTAAAAGTCTTTCTTCGCGCTACCACATATATTATTTCTTAATATACTAATCGGGTTTTTTTAGTACTTTAATTCAGGTGTTCCTTTAAAATAAGATTCTTTTTTAAATTATTGTCAAGTTTTTGTTAGGATAAAACTTGGAATTATTGCCTGCCAGCTGAGAATTAAATCTTGTTTGGAAATTAAAAACATTCTGATATTTAAAATTATTCGATGCAAAGCCGCCGACTATTTCTACTATGCATACTATTTTTTTAAAAAATGAAAATAAATTATTGATTGTTTTTTTTAATTGTTTTTAGTGACTTCAAGATAGATTATGTAAAATAGTATTGATATTTTCTAATATATAATAGTAATAGCATTGATTGGATGTTTTTTATTATTTTATAAGTCACTGCAAGGAGTATAAAGGAGTTTGAAAAGTAAATGCATATTAGTGACACTCAAAAAAACCACAACTGTTTTCATTTGTTAAGTGAACAAATTTGAACAGCAATTTTATTTTGACGTTTAAACTTATATATTACACCGTTAACTTTAAGAAAGCTGTTCCTTTAAAAAAAGATGTCGAAACAATTTACTTCTGTTAAAATTATTTTTCATCTTTAGCAGTATTCCTAAGATATTATAACATAATTTGTTATTCGGAAAATTCCTTATTTTGTTAAACGGCAAATACTAAAAATTGAAATTTGTAAAACAAATTCCGAAGCCATGCCAATTTTAGAATCTGATTTAAAAAATTTAATAAAAAACAAATTTTCGAACTTATTTTGATTAAAAAAATCAGCTAGACTGTCAACATACTTTACAGAAACTGAATCCCAATTTTTATTATATTTCGTCATAAAAGGCTAAAAAGAATATTGCTCCAAGGAATCTACTCAATAACTTCATTACTTCCAGAATTGAAATCTGGTTTGGATGAAACATTATTCCTCGAAAGCTAGAACAGGAGAAAATTTTAATATTTGTCTAAGCTAGTCCCATTAATTTAATGATTGCGGTATATGAGATAGAACCCCCGTTTATTATACTATAAATGCATTAAATCATATAGTTTCAATAATTTATTTTAAGCAAATTTAATAATTAAAAGCAAATAAGGGCGTAAGAATAAACAGTCGAAGTACGCCTAAAGTATACCCCAAAATATATGTACCACAAAATATATAATAAAATATATGTAAAATATAACTTTGTAATCAATAAAAAAAAAGACACTTTCAAACAAGTTCCAGTAGGGGAAGGAAACTATCTTGTTTGAAACAACTGTCCTTGTAACTATTTAATTTTGATTCCAGATGCTATGGGACATTCTTTCAGAGACTTTTTAAATTTTAACTGTAAACGGAATTTTTTATGTCCTTAAAAAGTGTTAAGGCTAACAGTTAAAAAAAATTGTAATGCATAGATTTTTTTAGAAAATAGATCAATTATTTTTTTCAATCTAAGAACTTATGCCTTATCTTCCGTAAAACTTATTTTAATATAGCGTGAAGTAATTTAATATACTGTGTTACTATATGAATAACTCTTAGAAACTGAATCTAAAAATACTGATTTAAGAATAACTGATAATAAAGGTAGACGTGTTTTGAGTGTCTAATAATTAACGTCACTAGTCATTCACCCTTGACAAGTCTTGAGAATGAGCGCTTTTATTTGGAAGCTCGAGACATGTCAATTTTTGTTTCCCCTCTTCATATTTTTCGAAGTCGGCGAAGTTTTAATCAATTATACTGTTTTACATTTAGATCTTGATCATTATTTTTTGATATAGTGAAAGTAAACATATGCATTTTAATATTTTAACAGGATTCATATGGTCTTTAAAATATTAAGAGAACAGCAATATCACTATTTAACTATGAAGTTATCTTTAACTTTAAAATTAAAGACTTGAGACCAGATATTTTGAGAAAATAAAATTGAATATTTAATCTTTTATGTTTTTGTGCCACCATTTTAGTGTTTTAAAAGACCTTACGAACTTTGTTTAAAAGAGTATCGTATCCGATATATGTAAGAAAACTAAGAAAGTAGCTGTATTTGGTGATAAATGTAGCTTATCGTAATTGAACATGGTGTGCGACATTTTATGGTGAATATGCGAAAATAAGTTTCGGAATGTATCGAAACATCAGAATGCTCTCTGCAAATAATCTTTATTCAAAGAAAACCATGAAACCTAAATATATGGCAGAATAAGGAGATTTTTTAAACAATGAATCATGCAATATGTAACATTATTTCAATATGTTATTCTTAAACATAACATATTTCATTGTTTTTAAAATGCCACTTAACATTCAGCAATTCATTAGGTTATAGAAGAAGAAAAAAGAAATATCGTAAATTATATGGAACCTAGCAATTGTGCATTAAAATTACTATACAATCTACATTTTTTGCAGGCACTTTTTTGTTTCTTTAAACTTTCTTGCTTAGAAGCTTCGATCTGAGCTGTAAAAATTATTATCCCTAATATTTTGTATATAGTTATAGTTACGTATGTAAATTTGATTTTAGTATGAAATACTCGTATAAATGAAGCACAACAAAAACACAAATAATGTCAGAAACAAAGTTCATATATTCAAATTCTTAAAGCTTAGAAAATTATAAATAGTTTATAAATAGATTCAAATTTTCTTTTCTGAGAAGATTAAAAAGAAACAAATCTTTAATTTTAGGACAGGAATCAGCTGAAAAATTTCCTATTGCCTAGAAACTTCGTGATATTTTCTATTGACTATTAATAAATAAACCTCTCCGGGCAATCACATAACATTATTTAAATCTTTTTTTGCACTTTAAACTTGGTTGTTTAGCGACGGAGTAAAACTAAGTATTCCTCTCTCGAATTAGTCTATGGGTTATCTTAAAATATTGATTTTAAGATAACCCATAGAACATTACTTAAAATAATAATTTAAATATGTAAAAAAATATTTTTATTAAGAGAATGTACGTTTTGGAGTCTGATTTCGAAACATAATTAATAGTTATTACTAATTAATTAGCATGTTTGAAGTCCCCCATAAACATTTAGATTAGCACTTAGTACGTGAAAATCCGATCATTAGAGCAAAAGTTATTTAGGGTAATTTATTTATTTTTGCTCACTGTGCATGAAGAAATCTAAAGCAGAAAAAAAGGGTACAAACAGAAAATGGTATAAAAAATTTGTTGAAAAAAAAAGGTGGAAACGTTTTCATGTATTTTTTTTTTAAATTTTTAAATTATCCTTAGAGTAACTTTTCAAGTTTTATATCATTAGTTATTTTAACAATATGAAATCCTACTATTTATATTTCTATAAAAATGAGAGTTTGTGTTAGAATAAAACTCCAAAACAGAAATTTTTGTTTCGCGTGCTGCGTATCAATTTAAAACGATACGCACTGATCAATTCCGTTCCATACTATAGTCTACATTCAAGACATTTGAGTATAACTACAATATTATTGAACACTAAAAGCTTTATATTATCAGATAATTAAACAAAAAGTATTAATTATAAAGTACTAAAGATCAAACCTAATTAACAAACTTGAAATGATATAAACTTACAATAGACGATTTTTCTAAACGCTAAACAAACATCTAACAAGATCCCCTTTTACGTTGTTCTTTATTTCCAAGACAAACACACCCATGGTCAAGTCCAGCTTGATATGATCTGCCTACGTCAGAGAAAAGTATTTAGTAAAGAACCCGCAGTTACGGTTATTAAAAAAATGGACGTTAATTGAATACTAAAGATCTTTGGGGACTTATTGTTACTAAACTCAGATATGAATATAAAAGCAGGAGTCTAAACTTAGCGACACCATCGCGTGTTTGAAGCATTTTTCGCCAAATTTATGCCTTATTATGAGTACATGTTCTGAAAGCTAGATAGTTCACAGAATAAAGCCAATGCAGTTGTAGGCGTTCTGTGTTAAAAATAGCCAAGTGTTTGTTTTATCCATTGGATATTTTATTGTACTCTTTAAACATATTTTCTAAATTCATATTTAACTAATCTAAAGTAAAGAGCATAATAAGTGTATAATAAAGTATAAAGTAAAAAGTATAATATGAATCTAAAGTAAAGAGTATTTAACTTCACTCTTTAAAATTTCTGTATTCATATTGTTTTCGGAATATATTATCAATTTATGAATACTTAACTATTTTTTCAACATTTGAGTGATTTTTTTTGATCCCCTGTGTTGAATAACACATCAAAGTCAAAGTAATCAAAATTGAAGGTCCCGCAGTGGACTGATCGTTAAAACGCGATTCCCAGCAGATCACCGAACGAAGGGACAGAGGGTGTGCGGTATGAGTCCTCGTTAAACTGTTCTACCGTAAAGTGCTCGGCTTCGCGTGCGGGTCATTGGGCTACAGAAGCGGGGGTGCTATCCCCTCTGCAGACGATCAAAATTGTGACGGCATGAATTCGGATCATCCCCAGGGATGTTTCCAGACCGTCGCCAATAGCCCATTGTGCAGCTGTAGTGCGAAGTTAATTAACAACNGGTGGGTGATCCACTTGGATCAGTCTGCATAGGGACCGAGGGTGTGCGGTATTGGTCCTCGTTAAACTGTTCGACCGTAAAGTGCTCGACTTCGCGTGCAGGTCGTCGGGCTACCGAAGCGGGGTGGCATCCCCTCTGTGGAGGATCAAAATTGTAATGGCATGTCTTCGGATCATTCTCAGGGATGTTTCCCAGACCGTCGCCAATAGCCCATTGCGTAGCTCTAGTGCGACGTAAATGAACAAATGAATGAATCAATCAATCAATCAAACATGCTTTCAGTGACTTTGGTTCTCGAACGCGTGATCTTTCTTGTCGCATTCCTAGACTCTAGTCTTTCGACCATCTCGACTCTTATGTCTTATATACTACTTTTTTCTTATTCTACATGCATTTCATTTATAGATCGGAAGACTAATGTGCTCTTAAAGGACATTGTCAAACGAAAATAAGATAGTACGATTTATGAAAGAACAGAAGTATATTAAAGGATGTGGTAGAAATCGAACCCGCTACCCTTGCGTTTCAGAGCGTTGTTTGAAGGTTCCTTCTTAATTTTATATACACCAACATTTCGCTCACAGGCTGCAATAGCGGCAGAACTCAAAAAATCATGTTTTGAGATAAGTGGGTTTAAAGTTTTCATTGCTGAGGAAAATGCATGAGAAATGCTTTTGTTTGCTTAAACGAAGATTACCTTCAAGTTGAATTATGAGTTCTTGAGTATTGCTGCTGAAAATAATGTGTATTTTCCTATTTACACTTGTTCTTGGTCCAAAACGCGTGTTTTTTTAGTTGTGCCACTATTGCTGCCCATGAGCGATTGGTTCCAACATTAGTCATAGTCACACCATTCTAATTCAAGAGTAATTATTAAAAGAACTTTATACTTTTTAAAGCTTCTCACACCTCTTAATAAAATGCAATATACAATCTAAATAACATACAGCTTGAATTAAGCCTGAAGGATTTTAATTGAGAGCAGTAAACCCGAAAAAAAATTAAATTAGATAAAATCGTAAGTGCAATCAACATTTTGTTAAGCGCTACGTAGCGTAGCAGAAACGGGTGCAAAACTCACTCAAAGCTTGAATGCATTTTAACGATGTCCTTTTCTAACTTGAGCTACCTATTCTTCATCTGAAAAGCACTTTTAAACCGAAGCTTGATATTAGCACAAAACTTAAAACAATAAATAAATAAATAAACATTTGGTCTGTAGGGGGCCTCCTTGACCTAGCGGTAGAGCTCGCCAAACGCTCTGTAACGTAGAGGTATCGGGTTCGAATCCCGCACCCGTGTATCCTCGTGCTGTCTATCTCTGAATTGTAATGCTTATAAAATTGACAAATGCTTATAAGTTGTACTTATATATTTAAGCACACAAGCTTGCATGTTTGTAAGTAAAATAAATAAATACATTTTAAGTAGACGCCTCCCAGGCCGAGCGGAATCCCCCGCCAAACGCTGTGCGAAGCGTGGAGGTACAAGGTTCGAATACCGCTTAATACCCTGGTTCTAACTTCATGCGGTCCTTCTCTGAATCGTGCTATCTGTTTTTTTCACTTTACGATGGTTTATAAGCATTAATTGAGCACGGCAGTCAATCGGAACTCAACTCACAAAAATACACCTTACAGCAAGGGGGATAAAAGCGAGTAGCAGAGATCCCCCCCACATCATCATCAACAGTCAACAGCCAGTCAATCGATGCTTGTTGTACACATAAATAAATAAATAAAATGTTTTATGTATGTGTAATAATAAATAAGTATTTTTGTACAGGTGAAATTTGCAAGAACGTTCAAATATACTTCGACAGCTTTGTATAAAAAATATTTCTAGTTTGCCTCAAATGTGGTTAATGCAATGTGTGTAAATAAACCGGATATAGATTCTATGCTTTTTTTAGGTAAGTAAAAATTAATTTTTTTCCGCATTTCTTACGAATTAATATTTTTGCTTCACTGATTAAAAATAAATACTCAAAAAATAACATTTTTGCACGGGCTCAGATGATTTCATTTATTGTGTTATAATTTGAAGTTAACATCTTTTCTGTTATAATATACAATGCAGTGGATGTGTGGATTATATTTCATTAATAACAATTGTATTTTGTTGATAATTCAACTCATTTGTAATGTTTATCTGAGTTCAATAGAACTTTATAAATGCCAAATAATTTTTTTTATTTTTTTTGAATTTATATTCGGTAGTTTTGATCTTCCCAGCTTGTAGGGATGAGTTAAACAAAACTCTGACATAATCGTTAATTTGATTGGATGGTACTGTTACTTCCTTCATACTCTCCTGGCATTGCTTCGAACGGACTTAAATTAAACCCGATCGCATCAATTTCTATGTGATAATAAAATAAAAGCCTGAAAAATAACGTGTAAAATAACATACTTTAAAATGATGTAAAAAATTACCTGCTTTGCAATTCAAAATTTGTTCATCATTATTAAATAAAATAATGGAAAAAAAATTATTTACTAAAATTTATGTTTTGCATAGAATTATCTTTGGATAAATATCTTTTATAATTGGGTGCAAAATTTATTCAATTTGCTTAAAAATTTCATGAAATATGGCGAAATACGCGAAAAGTAAAATTAACATTAAGGGGTCCAAACTTTGGATCGCTCTCCTGACCAAACTATGGGGACCATATTTCCCAGATTGCGGCTACCCCATATGTTGTGGAGGTCAGAAATTCGAATCCCTTGAAAAAAAAGGTATGTTTCTTCAGTAAAAGTATGTTTTTGTGAATGATTTCGTAAGTCAAAATATCATTTGCACTAATTAATTAGCATATTTGAGGCCAACTCCTCAAATCATTAAGATTGAGTCCTAGAACGTGAGGATTCGATGATTAGATGAAAAGTATTTCGGGACAGTCCGGACTTTTTTTTTTCTTTCGTTGTATATTAGTTCTGATTGTTAGAGATGTACATTATACAGAAGAAAAAAAAATAAACACCCCGAATAACTTTTGATTTTTTAATGATCGAACTTTCATCAGCTAGGACTCAATCTTAATGGTTCACGGGTGTGATTTCAAATATGCTAATTAACTAGGGTAGACGATATTTAAAGTTACAAAACCAAACACAAACACGTACTTTCTCTGATCAAACATACCTTTCTCTCCATGGACATGCAATTTCACGTTGCCCTCCTCTGGGAGTGGATGGGGGATCAAGTTAGGTGCTAATAGATGCGTTTTTTTAAAAAATAACAAATACGTTCGATTTTATTTTTCGGATCTGACAAACATTTCGCGAGATATCAACATTATTTATATATTTTATATATAATAAATATTTATCATATATATCCTTTAATTTTGAGATTACAATGCCATCTGTGAACCAAATTGTTAAAATCAGTAGGAAAAATTGGGGTAACTTTTTCTGGAGAATCCATATCTGCAATAACAATTAGAGATTCCCATTTAAAATTTTAATTTTGCAAAAGAAAGTTAGGAATAAGATTTGCTATCACTGAATATATATATATATATATTCAGTGCAATATATAAATACAAGAAAACAAGAAGAAAGTTAAGAAAAACAGTAAGTTTCATTTATTGCGCATAAGCTGCAAGTAAACAGAACTCATTTGATAAGTTCAAAATGAAGATAAAACAAAGAAAGATATAGACATATGGAAAAAAAAAAGGGGGGGGGAATGATAAGTAAAAAAATTGAAAACAACAGTTTAAAAAAGAAAAAAAAGGATGAAATTTTATTTTAAAAAAACCGGAAAAAAAAGACATAATCTTTTCATCAGCCCACACGATTATATCCGCAAATATATATATCTATAAATATATTTATATTTATGTATTAAATTTTTATCCAATGCGTAAAACTGCAAAATTTTAATTCAATATATCCCTAACTTTCATAAAAAGTCAATAATTCTATAGACCTTTTTTTTCTTCTAATTACTAAGATGTTTCAACATTAGCTTAGCACCCAAAACATATCACCAAAAACTTTTACTTACTACAACTAACGCAAAAGAAGCCTTAACTAATTACTAGAGCTAACGAATCCCAGAAGAAATAATGTTTCAGAAAAATAAGCAGTTCAAAAACATAATGCGTAAATAACCTTATATTATTTAAAAATCACTATAAACGCTTTATATTATTCTAATTTAAATATTCGATAAAATTCCAGACCCACATGT